GGGCTCCGCACGAGTGCCCAAGATTTAAGCCTAAACCCACTCCTCGCTGTACGCTCAAGCAGCGTCCATTTCCGCACGTGCGGAACCAGACCGCTCAAGCGGCTGGACCAGCAGCATATACGGCCCAATAAGAAAAAAAATTGCGTTGTTTTGTCTTGCTACCCCCGACATCTGGAATGCATTCCCAACCTTATTTAGCCCCTTTTGAGAGTGAAATGATGAATAGAAACTCATTAAAGAAGGTTATGAATAATGAAAGAAAAGAGTACAATTGAAGTGAATTACTTATTGAATATGTGTGTAACATGTTTCGTGTAGGTCGTGTGCCGGAGGAAATGTTACAAGATCGATCCCACTATCAGTAATAATACCATATTCATATGTTTGTTATTGTGTACCTCAAGCCATGAACAGTGATTGGTGCCGACATTGTGATTTGTTTGAAATGAGAAACCTCATTAATATCATATGACATACGCAATGTTAGGCCCAAGGCCATTTTGTTATATGTTGGGCCCAAGGCCGTTTTGATATATGATTAGGCCCAAGGCCATTTTGATATATGATTGAGCCCGAGGCCGTTTTGTTATATGTTGGGCCCGAGGCTGTTTTGTTAAATGTTGGGCCCGAGACCATTTTGATATACAATTGGGCCCGAGGCCATTTTGTTATATGTTGGGCCCGAAGCTGTTTTGATATACGTTGGGCCCGAGGCCATTTTGTTATATGTTGGGCCCGAAGCTGTTTTGATATACGTTGGGCCCGATGACATTTTGTTATATGTTGGGCCTGAGGACGTTTTGAAATATGATTGGGCCTAAGGCCATTTTCTTTATACGATTTTGGGTATTGTGAGAATCTTATGACTGTTTTACACTGTTTTACTGTATTATTACTCATTGAGTTTCGCTCACCCAATTTTACGTATGCACATGTAGGTAATCCACAGTATGGAGCACACCATTAAAGTCAACTTCAGGAGACATTCTTTTTTAGACCCAATCGAGTAATGTCTCAGAGATGGAGTTTTATCTTTGACTCACATCATACTTTGACTTTACTTTGTTTTGCTAATGTGGTCTTGGGTTTGTAAATGTTATGCACAAATTTCTTTCAATACTTATATTCTTTTCGCATGGCCATGTAAATGACGTGGATGTTTTACTTTTTGCATATTGGTATAGCTCAATGGACTCATTCTTTTGTTGTATACTTCTGCTTTTGGCCCCATTACTGTAATTACTCTATATGTTTGTTTGAGGCCGAAGATAATCAAGTGATTACAGGCAGGTTATGACCCAAACTTTTAGGGGCGAGTTCGGGTCATGACACAAGCATTGCATATGCATTCATCTTATAACTCAGTTAAGATTCATATACTTTGTTGGATTATTTCTACGAGGCGCTCACCCTATGTGGGAAAACCATTTCAAGTGCTAGTGACATGCCTCCACAAATGCAATAACTTCTAAGGACTTGGAACAAGAGCTTCATTTTGTTCATATGTTTATTTACTTTTGTACAAGCCTAGGACTTTATTTGTATTGAGTTTAAACTCACTTTTGTTGTAACTAAGTATTTTCTTGGAAAGTTATAAGCCTTTAGGGCATTTGTTAATTGATTATCTTGTGTTTCATATCTTTAACATGTCACACATGTTACAGATTTAGGGTTAGGGCTTATGAATGTATAACTGCATGTGTTATCTTTTGTATTATGAGATCATATGGAATGGAAGGGACGATGTATTTAGAATGGTATGATTATTCATTAATATTGTGGATGGTTTCATTATAATTGTTTCGAGGCGTTACAATTTTGGTCAATGATTTGCCATCCAATCTCTTGAATGATTTGCATCTTCTTTTGTAACATTCGAGCTTAAAGTTGTTTGGCCTTACATAGGATTTGGTATTGATGATGTCTTGTACACAGTCGATACCAAATATGAGCCTCACATCACTATTTCTGACTTTCATTTCCTTGTTTCCAAGTATGAATGCTTTCTTCTTCTTTTTTTATTGTAGAGTGTTGTCATTCTGCCAGAATGGAATTGTAACATCTGCACCAAGAGGCCTTCAGTTTTTGTGTTGAGCAAAGAGCATTTATGATAGCCCCAAAAAGGGTTTTTTTGTAGCTTAGTCTTTTGGGCTTTTTATGAATTTGACCCCAGTTTGATTACTGTTCTAATGTTGAAACGATAATTAAACTGTTGGACTCTCTTTGCGGGGACAATTTGTTTGTGTTCTTTGGCTGCCTTTGTTTTGGGGACTGCTCATTTTTTTTCCTTTGGATGTCTTGGTTTTGTGTTTTGGGAGTTGATGTGCTTTCTTGGAGCTTTCTTTTTTTTGTTGGAGAAGCTTTTTATTTTTGTGTTGGTTTTCTTTTGTTTGTTTGTTTGTTTTTTTTTTTTTTTTTTTTTAAACTTAGGGGTTGTTTGAGATGTTCTAAATAAATGCACTTTTTGTCTTTTTGGACTAAAAAGTTGAGGAAAAAAAGATGGATGCTTGGGTTAACTTTTTGACTTTTTACGAAAAAATGTGTATTAAAAAATTGTATAAGTAAGTGTATAGGAGAAGTTTTAGTGAAGTAGACAGTACGGCCTGTATAGTCTGGGTAGAGTAGTGGGCTGAGTAGGAGATATGAAATGGTTGCCTCCTTTTCGGGCTTGAATTGAACGGTGCTGTTCGGCCTGTAGGGGCCCACCACGGGTCCCATTTTGCTAATTGCAACCGTTCAATGTGTAGAACTCGTCGAGTACTATACGTCTATAAAAAATCACATTGATCGGATATCACTAGCTACCTGATCAAATCCGTTTTGTATAAAAAATGGATAGTGTTATAGTTAACGGTTGACAAAAAAATTAATACGATCAGATAGCTATCAATATCCAATCAATGTGATTTTTTACAAGCATATAGTACTCGACGAGTTCTACACATTGAACGGTTGCAATTAGCAAAATGGGACCCGTGGTGGGCCCCTACAGGCCGAACAGCACCGTTCAATTCAAGCCCGAAAAGGAGGCAACCATTTCATATCTCCTACTCAGCCCACTACTCTACCCAGACTATACAGGCCGTACTGTCTACTTCACTAAAACTTCTCCTATACACTTACTTATACAATTTTTTAATACACATTTTTTCGTAAAAAGTCAAAAAAGTTAACCCAAGCATCCATCTTTTTTTCCTCAACTTTTTAGTCCAAAAAGACAAAAAGTGCATTTATTTAGAACATCTCAAACAACCCCTAAGTTTATGTATTTGTTGTTAATAGTTACAAAACTGTATAATTTGGCAGTTTGATTTGCACTTTATAATAAGTTTACCTAATTGTTGTGAATAGTGATTAAACTGTGTAATTTTGCAGTTTCATTTGTGGTTTGAATAAATTTATATATTTAATTTTAAAGTGATGAAACTGTATAATGTTTCAATTTTATAAACACTAGTTGAGAATCAATGGACAACAAGAATAGTCCATTGTATTTTGTAATCAGAGAAAAAAAAAAGAAACAACAGCGATAACAACAACAAGATGAAGTATTCAATGAAATGTAACAACAATAAGAAGAATATTTAACAACAAAAATAAGCAGCAACAACAACAAGAATAAGAGAGTTGAATGTGTAAAAATAGGGGATTATATTACTAGAATGTGTAAAAACAAAGGATTGTGTTTTGTAGCATTTGGTGAAAGAGTATAATCTAGGCAAGAATAAAATGAAAGACATCTAGAATTGTAGGTAGAATGTTTAAAAATAGGGTTGTTGTCCATTGTATTTTGTAATCAAAGAAAAAAACAAACAACAATAACAACAAGAAGATGAAGTATTCAATGAAACTGTAACAACAATAAGAACAATATTTAACAACAAGAACTAGCAACAACAACAAGAATAAGAAGTTGAATGTCTAGCAAAAGGGTACGATGTAAAAAAATAGGGGATTATATAACTAAAATGTATAAAAACAAGGGTTGTGTTCTCTAACATTTGGGGAAACCGTACAATCTAGGCAAGAATAAAATGAAAAAGAGATGTAGAATCGTATGTAGAATGTGTAAAATAGGGTTTATACCAAACAAGGGTTTGTTTATGAAAGTATTGTTGAAACGGTATGATATATGCAAAATATTAAAGAATAATCTACAAATTTGAATGAAAAATAAAATCTAAGCGTTTCGAAGTGAGATCTTACTTTTTTTTCTTCATTTTTTTGAATTAGAAGTGAGAAACTATGAAACTTCTTTAGTGTGGTGATTGTGCTTGAACGTGATGGTTCTTCGTGTTGTTGAGAACCGATTACTTCTTTAGTGTGGTGATTGTGCTTGAACGTTCTTCGTGTTGTTGAGAACCAATTAGAGAAGGTGAAGGGTTTGTGTTGTGGTTAGGGTTTCAGAGAACGGTGCAGCAATGGAGGACTGGGAATGCAGAATTGAACGATGGAGGTGTAACAGTGGGAGGGTCAAAGTGGTGTGACATGATCGTGGATAGAGATTACGTGCGTGTAAATTGGGGGATATGTGAGAGTATTTTCGTCTGATTGAGTATATTGAATTTGTTTTGGGTCTAAAAAATTTGTTTTGGGATATGTTGGGTTTGGACCTTTAGGTCAGTTTGGGTCTTGATTTGCTATGTCTTGCCAAACTCCTCCTCTTCCAAATATTATTAAAATTTGATTGATTTTTTATTTCTACCGATTTTTCCAATGAAAGAAAAAAATTTTATCCAAACCGTAGTTTCTAAAGTATTTTTGCTACTTTTATCCCTATAGTCCTTTTCAGACATTTTGTGTATTTTATTTACTCAAAAAATTAAGTCGGTCCAATAATTATATTCATCGTTTGTCACCAAAAAAAAATAGATGATAATTGTGTTTTTAAAAATATACCATTCAGTTTTTAACGCGATGAATTGAATATAGCCTATTTTTTCATTTAGAATTTTCTTTCAATTTCTAAACACAAAATTCCACCAATTTTGCAAAGCACATAAAAATACTCTAGTAATTGAATAAAATGAATTGAATTAGTACTCAAGTTTTCTGTAGCAAAAATACTACAAATTTAAAATTAAAGAAAAAAAATTTAAAAAAAAAATTGCTCCACAACTGTTATCAGAAGCAAAATCCAAGACACAGTAATTGCTTAATGTTGTTGTTAGTCATGATGTAGCAACAGCCAATAGACTTTTGGCCGGTGGGAGCAGGGCAACGGCGCCTCTCTCGGGATTGGAGTATTTCCTATAGATCACCTTCAGCTTGTTTTCTGCGGCCACCAAGTGGAAGCTAACCAGTAGTTTAGCACAATCCCTGTTTGGAACATAAATAAATAAACAAAAATTAATCAGAAACACATGTAATTATATTAATTTCATTCTTAAAACAGTCACAAAATGAAGATTGAAAAGACTTACATAAGCTGTGTCTCTGAGAAACCAGTGTGCAGTTTTAGTGTGTCGTTCCAAGCAGGGCTTTTGTTGAGGGTGCAACGGGCAGTGTAGACTGCTGAGGCAGCAAGCATTGATGGACAGTATATAATGGTGGCATAATTCATTATCCCTAGCTCAGCCAGAAAATACACCATGTTCTCCATCTAAATGTACAAAAAACAAAAACAAAAAATGAACAATTAGCATCCAAGAATGACAATAATCATCATCAATCACAACAATTTTGAAACAGCAGAGAGCAAAAAATACAAACATGCTGATCAGCAACAGCGGCTTTGATGAAGCGCGCGAGGAAAACATAAGGTGTAGGAACTGTTAAGCTCCATTCGAGCTCTCCCAGTATGCGTTTCTCGGTAATCAGCACTTGCTCATTTGTATAAGCCCTGTCTGAGATGCACACAAAGTCATTGACCTCTGGGGCCCAGATTTCTTCATATTTGGAGGCCATGAGCATGGCACTGATGCCTACTAATTGCAGTTCCCTCCTCAACACCGACTTTGAAGCGAGGTAGCGATCAACAATGTTGATAGTGAGGTATAGAGTCTCTGGCATGAGTTCAAATTTGTTGTGAACTTCGATCAACCAATCCACCAGGATTGCTCTCATCTTCTCATTTATCTCAGGCTGCGAGTCCATGTAGTCGTGAACTCTGCTCTCATTCTACAACATCACAGTTTTGATACATCCACACTCTTCTCAGAACAACAACACAACACATATACATATAAGATAACACATAAATTAAATGGGAAAACTGAACGTACCTCGACCTGCTTGTAGAACTTGTATATATCTTCGACGTATTCAACAACTGCCAACTCGTTATCGATATCTGCAGCGTCGATGTCCACAATCTGCTCCTTTGGCTTTGGCTTGTCAGTCAGGCCACAAGCAGCCTGCAATTTGGGATTGAATTAGGAACAACACAAGGCAAGAGCAACCAAATAGCAAAATTCCCCACCGATTTTTGGGAATAACCCACAAAACCGGACACCGGGTTAGGTGAAAAATGTGCACAAAAAAAGTCACCTTGCTTCGGGCAGTGAGGACTGAAGTGAGGGTTTGGGACTTCTTTCTTGATGACCCTTCTTGTCCAGCCTTTTTCCTGATCACTGGCTTCTCCTCCTTCTTGACCTCCTCATCTTCAGGACTAATCTCAGTCACTGGCTCAGGCTTTGGTTTGACAGTAACTTTCCTCTGAGCTGCCTTTGGCAACAGAATAGCTTCTTTACCCACTGCAGCCGCTCCATCAACCACATTGACTTGGACTGCTTTCTGCAAATTAAAGAAACCCAGAACACACAAACACAATAAGAACAATTGCACAACAATCAAATTCAAACATGAGGAAAGATGGCACAAGAAAAGGGTTCTTCTGAGATATGAACCTTGTTGTTTTCTGCTGCTGCTGCGGCTTGTGCGTTGGCAAGTAATTGTGCGCAGAAACTCCTGAAACATTAGATTGAGAGAAAAAAAAAATTCAATTTTGAACTCCAAAGGCTAATGAGAGAGAGAGAGAGAGAGAGAGAGAGAGAGAGAGGAACCTTGTAACCGGGCGAGTGATCTGCTTTGTGTCAATTCCTCGGACAGTAACAAGGTTACCAATGTCACCTAGTGCACGGCGGTTTCTCCCGTCGGCTTCCATGGTCTTCTTCTTACCACCTCCTGCAACTGCCTCACCTATGAAAACAAATCCATCAAAATAATATTTCATGAAATCCAAGAAAAAATCATTTTTATCATGATCATGATTCTCCAAAATCAAAAGGGTTTTTCAGGAACCCCATAAAATCAGAAAATAAGGTACAAAAGAAAGGACCCAGAAAGTCCAGAGGGATGGAAGAACATATCTTGGACATTGACAATAACAACTTAAGAACCAGAATTCAAATCAGAGATATAAGAAAACACATTCAAGTAGATGAAACTCCCAAAAAGAATAGGAACAAAGAAATATCAAGAAAGACGCTTTCATTTGAAAGTTGAAATATAGAGAAAAGCTTCATTGAATCAGATAAATTTCAACAAAGTAGACTAACCCAGTAAGGCCGATGAATATTGGGCGTAGATCCAGAGATTAATGAATGAAAAAGGCACCAAAGATTGAAGAAACGTAGTAAATATGTTGAATAATATAAACAAAGACGGAAATGTGAACATTGAAACACAGAGGAGGCACAACAAGAAGTCCAAGACTATCTCTATCTATGAACCCAAAACGTATGGATTGAAAAAAGATTAAAAAAAACCTCAGGATTCTCAATGACCCACATTAGAATAATGAAAATGAAGATACCAAAACACAAAGAACTCAAGAAAAACAAATCAAGATAGCGAATTTTTAGAGAGAGACGACAATGTAAAATACCTCCTCTGTTTTGGTGTTGAACGATGGGTCTTGAAGCCATTATCAGAACCTTGAATCTCCACAGCAAAGACGACTCTCTCTCTCTCTCTCTCAGAAGGAATAGGAAGTTGGGGAACTGAGAACACACCCCTTTTTTAAGCTGACGAACCGACACCTCACTCCCAACGGTCTTTTTTTTTTTTTGAAATTTTAACCGTTGGATTTGGAGAAGCAGATCCAACGGCTTTGATTAGGTTTCAATATTCGCTAGAGCGCTATTAGCCGTTGCGCTGTTGAAAGTTACCGTTTATGCTAATGTATTAAATTAAAAAAATTTAGGGTTCAAATGCGTGCACTATCAGTATCATGTATTTTTATTCCGTGATGGAGTGACACGTGGAATGCAATTGAAGCTTATTTGACTATTATGCCCTTTTGGTTGTGACTTGTACAACACCAAGGGTAATAAAATTCTCATTAAATATTTTACTAAAATTGTGTCTAAATATTATTAGATATTTAGTTACGAGAAATTTTTATTTTAGTGTATATGTAAGAAGTTTAAAAAAAAAAACATTTATAAATTTATAGTAGATTTTATACGTACATTAAAGCATGAAGTGACAAACTTTATCGTCAATTAATAATTAATTTTTATAATATATACTGAGTATTAATATTTCCTTTAATTAACTTTTATATTTGATATTTTGCACTTTTAGTAAGAAAAATGTTAGTATTTATTGAATTATTCGAGATGAAATGATTTTCTCCTAAATATGTTGGAAAATTTTCTCTTGATAAAATATTATTCTAATTTTTTAATACGAATTTTATAATAATAAAAAAATTATTATAATTGTGCCACTTTATTTCTTAAACTATCAATTTGAAAAATTATTGCTTTAATATCAAACTGTTAACAAATTCAATACTTTTGACAAAACATTCTCATTTGTACTCTAAATCAAATCAAATGTTACATGCTCAACCTCAAGTGTCTTTATAGCATGGTTATAAATTCGCACACATATAAAATTTATACTGGTAATTTGATTTTGATATCTTGTTTGTACTTTTTATCTTATGAACTTATATTTGATTTATTTTTAAACTCATAACATGTTATTTAATACCAAAAAAAAAAAAAAAGTTACTTATGCACTAATATACTTACAAATGAACATGGATTTGAAATTTTGTTTAACATATGTATTCTTAGCTCGTTGTTTCTTGTACAATTTAATATTTTTTTAAATTATGATGTAATTAAAACATGGGTAAATTACACTTTGTCTGTCTAAAATTTCACTTATTTCTCATTTTGGTCTTTTAAGTTTGATTTTTCTCACTTTGATCATTCATGTGTTGCAATCCTTCTCACTTTCGCCTTTCATATTTGCAATTCTTCCCACTTTATTCCTAAACTAACTTTTATCTAAAAAACTAACAGAATTTGTCACATTACCAACACATCAGTTCCATGTATGACGTAAAAAATTCAATAAAGATGCAAAAAATGAAAAATAGAAAATAAAAAAAATTGAATTTTTTTTTTAAGTTTTTAGTGAACTTTTTTTCAAATTTATTCATAAAAATTATTACATTATACATGCATCTAACTTAGATGCACCTAAAAAGATAAAAACAAATTTAACTAAATAAATAAAGCTCACTAAAGACGGAAAAAAACCCAAAAAAAAAAAAAGGACATTAAACTTTTCATTTCAAAATTGACGATGCATGTGTTTGAGTCGGTATATTTTCAATTTTTTTTTTTTTTTTTTGTCTTTAGTAAACTTTTTCTTCTTTTAGTTTAAATTGTTTTTATTTTTTTGAGTGCATCTAATCTAGATGCATTTATAATTTAATAATGTTTATGAATAAATTTAAAGAAAAAGTTTACTAAAAACTAAAAAAAATTCAATTTTTTTGTTTTCTATTTTTCATTTTTTATAACTTTAATAAAAAAATTTACTTCACACATGGAGCTGATGCGTTGGTGATGTGGTAGATTCTGTTAGTTTTTTAGATGAAAGTTAGTTTAAGAGTAAAGTAAGAAAAATTGCAAACATGAAGGTCCAAAGTAGGAAGGATTACAAACATAAAACGCCAAAGTGGAAAAATTAAACTTAAATAGCCAAAATAGAAAAGATTGCCAACATAAAGAAGCAAAATAAAATAAAATAAAAATTAAATTTAAAAGACCAAAATAAAAAATCAGTGAAACTTTAGGAGGTAAAGTGTAATTTACCCTTAAAACACTTATGTATATGTTTCCGTATGTATGAATTTTGTGACATGACATGTTTGTATAAAAAGCTTTTTTATTTATGATTATTTGATGTATGTATTTTGGCTCTGATAATGTGATTATGTTATGTTTAAAACTTGGGTCCACAAACTCTGTTTGACCATTTCCCTGTATATTTGGTTTATTGCCCACAGTAATTGATACTTCTTTCGACTTAAAATAATAATTCTTTTTGATAATTGGATTTTTTTTAAGTTGTGCAATCATTACATTTTAAAAAAATTAATTTTTTTAAATCATCTTTTGATAATACATATTTTTGAAAATATTAATTATCATAATTATATTTTTTATGGTGTTAATAAATTTAAAAGAATGATAAAATAGAAAATTCATATTATTTTAATCATTGATTTTTTAAAATGAACTAATATTTTGAGACAATAAAAAATAAAATAAGAGACTAATATTTTGAAACAAATAGAATAAGACTTTAATCACTTTATTAATTAAGACGATTGGTTATTTACTGATGACAACTCTGGTGTAAATAGTTCAATTCAATTCGGGTTGAGGGAAAATTTCATTTCAAACTGAACTATTCGATTTCGTTAATTGAAGAATTAAAACGATCTCATATATTTTTTGATTTAATATAAAAAAAAAAGGGACTCACATGATGTAAAAGATATTACTGAAATCATTAGAATTCTATATCTAGAATAAAAATGAAACAAAACGGTGGAGATTGCTCTATAAATATTTCTCTTCCTAAACTTTATTACAAAATAATTATCGTTAGTCACTTATCTTCTAGAAGTATTTAAATATAATATTTCAGACGATTTAGTTGATATCGGTGTAATTTTTTTAAAAAAATTAAAACAAACCATATATTAAAGGGTTGAACTTATCTCATGTTGACCATCACAACTTGAGAGAGCGTTTATGTTTTGTACACCCATTTTGAGATCGACTTTGGTAATCCGAACTGTTCACCTTTTAAAACTCGCTGAGTAGAATATTCATGCAAAAAAATAAGATGATCGAATATCGATGTTTATATGTTTGAATCAAATTTGTATTATAAAAAATAGATGGCTATTTATGATTCAAATATATGTTTGAATCGGCGCTGTGCACATTTCATTGCAAGAATGAAAGGAAATCAGATTTTGTTTTGAAAGAGGCCCTCCCAAGTGAGATTTGGCAACTGAATCCAAAAATATAGATTCATGCAACCCTAAACCAGAATATTGTGATTTAGCATTGAGTTCAGTTGTTTTGCTAAAAATTATTTTATGTAGCTGTTGATCCAACAATTGGAAGGCTGTACATACACATTCAATTTAGGCATGCATGTATAAAGAACAAAAGCTTTTAAGACTATTCAGATTTTGGACTTGTACTGGAAAAAGTATTCCTCTACAATTTCAAGATTCAAACACAACCTTACATGCCCACTCAGAAGTCTAGATTTCGAATCCCGGCTCCACCATTTAATTTCTTCCATGTTCTGAAATGTACTGGAAAAAGTATTTTCCTTGCATTAATCATATTTTTTCTAAGATAAATGATTTTTTGCTGTACTTCAAAAGATGACAGGTTTTTCCTAACTCAGATTCAGGGTTGTTTTGGGAACTAACTATTTTATTTAGCTTCTTTATTTTTTTACAAAAAACCATGTAAAAAAGTGGGGAGAATAGTTGATTTTTTGGTAGCGACTTTGACTTTTTTACTAAAAAAACTAGTTCCCAAACTTACCCTCATTATAACTAATAACAGCATAAATCTACATCATATACACAAGACTGCTAAGACTCAATTTTGCTAACAATGAATATACCATATTTGGATATTCTGAAACCATAATTTCAGTTAATTAACCATTATCCCATTTTAGAATTATTGATCTGAATCTAATACACAAAAGGTGGTAAGCATGCAAATCATCACAATCAGCTTCAAATGAATCATCATTTAACTACAATAGATCAAACCTGTTACAACCCAATGATTAGGCAAATAAAAACGATGCCTATAAAAGGATGCGACCAAATTAGAGGAAGCACAATTACAAACGCGAAGACATTCCTCATCATCACAATCACACAAGAAATTGAATACTCACACTCAGAAAACAATGTTAATACTCACATTAGTTGAAAACTCACAAAATCAGTTAGGTTTAAATGAACGCTTGATCTTCCGGCCCAACAAGCATGACCTGCCCATTCAGAAGCCTGCATTTTAGTATATAATAAAGAGGTGTATTTTTCAAAAGGAACATTCATGTTTAAGCATAAATCATCTATCATTCTTTTACCCATAATGTAAGAGGAAAAATAAAACATACAAAATAAATACAAATCACTATAAATATACCGAGAGATATAGAAAATATATGGCGTGCTCAAATTAGTTGTTCTTAGCATTGACTTCTGGCTTTTAGTGCTTTTCTTCTGGGGAAGGGCCACCAGAGGAGGGCGGTGGCGGGGGAGGGGCAGGAGAGGATGGGAAGGCCTTCCGGGGTGGGGAATGGCAGGGAGGGAGGAGACGGGCTGGGGAGAGGAAGGGATGGAGGAGGTGGCGGTTGTGGCAGCCGGTGGTGAAGGATGTAGTGGCTCAGGTGGTGTAGAGTTAGGGTTTGGAAGGTTAGAGATACGTGCAGGGTTGGAATTTTACATTAGGTTAGAACTGTAATAAAAAGTTATTAGGAGGTGGGGACCAAAGAAAAAAAATGTGGTGTTATTTAGCAGTACTCAAAGGAACAGTTGGTAAATATTTGCAGGTTTTCTTTTTTAACAGAACTTTTTGCACCACATTTAGCACATGTTTTCCTCATATGGGGAGCCAAAAACAGCATATAGTAAAACACCAAGAAAGCAAAAGCTACATACATTGCAGTCAAGAGCGTATCTCCTTGCAAGCATAACGGCCGCATTTCTTTCTCGCTCTGATTCAAATACCAATACAAAGGATTGTCCTTTCCTTGCTTGCCAAAACAATGACTTAGCTGCAGAATTACCACCGCCTCTGAATCCACATAGCTGGAGCAAAGAAAGAGTCGAGTAAGAAATGCTTGCCCACAAAAATACAAAAGCCTATACAGGAAGTTTACAGAATACAAATCTTAAGCTAAAGGAGAGATACTATCACTTTGGCTTAAAAGGAAGGCTAATCTAAACGAAATTAAATAGGTAACGACATTTATACGAAGTGTTGATATGTTTCCCATGATGAGTACAATATATTGAAGTGATGGCAACTTCATTGTCACTCCCATTAGAGACACAACTTCTCCATCAACTTCTTTCTTTTCTATGCTGTGTAGATTAGAGGACGAGAAGAGAGCCTTCTTAGAGCACGAAAATTTAGAAAAACTTTTATTCCAGAAACATACTCGTGGGGAAATTACCTTTGCATTCTTCCTTTTTCATTTATAGAATGAATGGCTTGGAATTTAAAAGAACCAATTTTGTTTTCACAGTTAAGTGCTAATTCATCCTCTCTAATGATGCATTTAAAATATGGGTCTTGTTAACATGGGCCTTAGGGCACTGATTAACAAATCCTTAAAAGATATGGCACCTCACCACAAATCATATCAGTAGTGAATATGTAATTAATCTTATAACTTTCCCATTTAAAACTATTTGAAGTTGTGTGAAGGAAAACCAAATTCATCTCAAATATCACAAAAATGTGAGTGAATAATTCAACCTACAGGGCATCCAAGTATGCCTCGTGTAATGTTTGATGATTCTCCTAATCAATTTTGTTGAATAAAATATTCAGAGCACAGCCACAATAAGTACCTGCATTGATGTGGAATATGATTCTCTAGCCTTTGTAATCCATCCTTTACAAAGTTTCATCCTCATTTTCCCCACATGAAACAAGTGAACAGAACGTGATGAATAATTTTGTCCATTCATCTGGGAAATAACTACCTGTAGAACAATGAATATTAGAATGATAACATCTAAAAGATACAAGAATTTGAATCAGATGTCCCATTGCAAATAACCAATCTTGGCAGCCAAGTTTTATATTCTCATTATATGTAACCAGTACTTTACACACTGTCAATATTCTCATGGTAACCTATAGTAATCTGTCTTTAATAAGTTCTCATTATACCAATTAACATTTTGATAAATTTACAATGACTAATGGTCACCAGGCTCAATGCACAAAATGTTGATTCATGCTCCTGAATAAACTGATAACATAAAGCTATACAAGAAATAAATAAAATAAAAAGTTCCCTTAATAGCACATCAAGCCAAGATTTAAAGCTCTACAAAATTAAACCAAGTGAAGGAAAAAAAAAAACCACCATACACCACCTAGTGTTGGCTCTCAATTCGGGGACAGGTGGAATAGGTTCAGATGTACTTCACAGAGATGTGAAGGAAAAGCAGTCACACAGTTAATAACACCAAATTATGAGAACAAAACATCTTTGATGATTACTTGATAGCAAAGGCAAGTGTTGGATTTCTTAGGATTCAAAATTTTCAAGGATTCTAGGCATTTAACAGCATATCCAATATTATGAATGCCAAGCTGTTGGGAAAAGGCTGTGTATGAAATAAAAAAGGCAAATAACTAGCGAAGGGACGAATTTTATCAAAATATAAAAGATCATACTTTTATCACTTTGATTTGTATTCCATGTAACATGAAGCCAGATATGAATGGGGTGCAGTATACAGCTCAAGTGCCAAAATGGTCAAGTCTCTCTCCTTAATATACTAGGCTTAAATATCTGTATCTATATGCTTCTTCTATATACAATACAAGGCTAGTTACCCCAAGTTTCTACTTCTGGATCTGCATCAAATATCAACTGCAGGATTTGTTTGGGTATCAAATTCATCTAAATCTCATATTTTCCAACACCGAGACAGCCAAAATGTCAAAATGGTGTATATTTTTTTCTTCTATATACTAGGCTCAAAGAGAGGACAGTGCTATATAAAGTCTCCACAAGGATACTGATACTTCACTCGTCTATGAAATGTTATCACGTAGTAATCGAATAATAAACTATACAACAGAACTTCCAGCAAACTAGATCTTTGGGGTAACATGTTTGGCAGTAGGGGTTAGAAAAAAAGCATTTCTTGTACACATTTTTGAAGTATCCATGTAGGCATTTTAGCTACTGCCCAAAAGAAGACAAATAAACGAAAGAAAGAAATAATCCCGAGTTGGTCCTTTTCCAGAACAACTATGTCATCAAAACCATTACTCCCTAATCTCGTGACAATCAGTTCCAAAAAATTACCGGAGACCCTATTGATGGAGTGTAATTAAAATCATCAAGAATCAAAAATCTGAAGGAGTATAAAAATATGATCCAACAGTGCTGACTTGGTGACATGCTAACCAGAGAGAATAAGACTGAAAAGCAAGCAGTCCACATGAAACTATAAACTTATAAATACATGGTGCAAAATTTTGGCACGTGATAGAAATAATTTGTTAGAAGTGGAAATATGACAAAGAAATAAAGTAACATACATTAAATTCAGTGTTGGGTTTCCGTAAAAGAGTCTCCACATAACTGGCCAATCCCGCAGCTGTTGGAAACAACTTAAAGTCAGATCAATATTCAACTTTCTGTACACATCAAATTAGGGATAAGCACCAAACATAAAAAAAAACTATAATTAGACGGCTTGGTCATGACCATTTTAGCTCAAAGGATGAGAAACAGATAACAAAAGGGAAAAGGATGACTTGACGAGAGTTAGTATTTATATTTACATAAATCACATCGAACATTAAAGGTACTGACCTGGACCTATGGGACCAGAAGTTGTCACAGCAACCTTTTGGCCAGCTGAGACAACATCAACTTCCAAAAATCGCCCAACATCAAAGGGCTCTGGAGCATAGATTGATTTGTTGGCACCTGAAGATGTGGACAGTCAAACTAGTGAGGAGAAAGCAAATGCAGCACGGAGAAACAAAGGTAGTTCAGAACTTAATATTTTTGTTGCACCCAATAGAAAAGGAAACAACATATGAACTCCGAATATAATCCAAAATGTGTATTTTAACATTAAAATGTATTCCAACTTAAGACATAAATCTATTTTTGGAAAGTATATGCACTCAAGTATATAAGTGATTAGAGAGAAGCAAGTGAATCCTATATTACGAAAACAGATACCTAGTGGAAATTCAATTGCAGAAAAGTAAATATATTTCGAAATACTGGTCTCAACTAACCATATCTTCTAGACATAATAATTATTTTCCTGAATTGATGAACATCATCAACAATACGTATATAACATCCCATCTGCTAAATGTGAAAAAACTAATAATAAATAAATAATAACTGCTTCAAGAAAAAGACACTGGAATGCAAACATAAGTAATGCTGTCTAAGTTACATTTCTAGTAGTAGATGAGCACGGCATATTCTAAGAGGAAGCAAAAGGTATGTGGCCAGCTGACTGAAACATGTTGCAGATCCACTTGACTCCACCGCAATTTAAGGAAACAATGAAGGAATCAGATCCACTCAACACAAAAGGTTACCCATTGGCATCATATTGTCCAACTTAAGAAGCCAATGAATTTTAGAGTGTAGTAATTTAACCAATAGGCATTCAGAGGGATAGGCTGACAGATAAGAATCGTGTCAAAACTTAGGTTAGTCTCTGGCCAGAGGTTATTTAATCCCAAAATTCAAATACTCGGGTGCTATATGCTCGGGTCCAAGAGCTCAGCCAAGCATAGCCTCCATTTGAGTAGTACCCTCTGTCCAAACATATCTTCTGAGTATATCCTCTATCTCCATTGCTTTGGCCTCCTCTCCGTGATATACTCCAATGCACTATGCCAGTCTAGGTCAGGAGCAAGGCCTAACAACACCCTTGGGTTAATAAAAAAATTACGGGGCACTTCAGCACTACCCTTTGAGACAAAAGGTCTCTGGTTCAAGTGTGTGAAGCGACGTCTCACATCGCCTAGGTACAAAGGTAATGTGTAGTATACAAATGTAAGGGCACCCTCAACTCAACAACTAACTTTTAGAGTTGAGTTTTATCCAAGACCATGTAACATGGTATCAGAGTCAGAACATGCAGGAGCAGGTAAAGTGAGGGGTTTAAACCCACTACCCTAATGACCATTATTAAAATACATCCTTAGTTATGCACTGGGTACTCACTATTTAGGAAATCAAAACTTTTTGAGATATATATTATAGTTTAAAACAAAAGACATCAATAGAGAACTTGATACTACTGCACTCTGTGCTAAATACATCACAGCAGTAAATATGATTTTCCATTTAAGCTGCATAATTTAAAAGTTGTCCAAGATAAGCACTGTAACAAAGTCAACCACACATTCAAGAAAACAGAATGGATACCTGAAATAAGTTCCCTTCTGCTACCTTCAGTCGGTATACGATACCACTGGATTGAACATTTTGAAAGGTCTTGAGCTTCATCTGAGCAAGGTTGAACTCGCAAAGCTGAACCTAAAGTTTCAGAACCACCGAACTCATATACACGGAACTTGTTCTCCTCAGCCCTCCTGCTCATTGCCAGCTGCGAAGATTAAGAAAGCACAACAAATTAGAAACTCAACCTCACCATTTGCACCTCAACTCACCAACCTCACCATCATTATTAACAACCCTCAGACCCCATCTCCCATGTGATTTTTCATTATGTTACATGTTATTTCATTATGTAGGCTTTGCTATTGAAGCTCTAAATTTTTTGTATATGTTTATTTGTTGTTACTAAAAAAAACGGTTGAACCATTTTCTTCTACCCACTTTAAAATATAACTTCCATTGTTTTAGATGAGAGAAACTAACGGTGTGTTTGGTTTGTGTTTGTAGAGTAGTTTTTGAGATAAAAAGTACGAAAACTTGTTTGGTTTGCTTTTTTTCAGAAATGGTTTTGGAAAATTATTTTGGGGAGAGAGTTTTAAAAAAAGTGATTGATTTGATGTGTATGAGAGAGAATGATTTTGGAAAGTAGGTAACCAAACAAAATTTTGAGATTTTTTTAAAAAAATTTGTTTGGTTTGATTACTCTTGAAAATTTGTTTGTAGAGAATTTTTCCCAAAAATTTTTTTGAAAAACAAACCAAACAAGGCTTAAGTTTCTTTGAGAGAGAAGAGCATAGATAGGTCCTAAGAAGCATGAACACTTCTAAGGAGAAAGTGTGTCGTGTTGGACACCCATGTCAGACACTAAAACTCTTTGGCCACTTCTATAAGTGTGTCCGACACTTCTGCAAGTGTGTCCGACACTTCTTTAAAGTGTCTTAATTAAAAAATTAAATTTACTATATCGAGCACTAAACCAATTTTCTTTGACACTGCAGCGACACTTTTTTATATTTGAACCCTCCAAATATATCCTATGTGATAAATGATAAATCCCTTCATAATAAAAATGTGAAGATATATTTTGGTATTCATTAACATTTCCTTTTTGGGTTAATGACACTTGTCTTCCTTTTATTCATTAGGGTTGTCTCCTATTGTGTTTGTATTTAAGCACACATTTTTGAAATAAGAGATCAAGACGCCATATTATTTTTCCTCTCCAATCTTACTCTGGAAAGTCAGTTCCCATGGAAAAAAAATGGTACTTACCAAACAAGAGCTGAAAATTCATGACGACTTAAATTCTTGTGCTGCATGTATAGCAACATTGGATTTTTTAATCCTACCTTTTACAATCTACTTACCAAACACAATATCAAGTGTTGCCTTCTAAGAACTTCAATTTATAAGGCATTAAAACTTTGTTTATAAGGAAAATGAGGAAGGTAAAACAAAACAGTCACAAACCTCTCTTTGGAGCTTAACCGAAATTATAGACTTTTCTCGAATCTGCATGCGTAGAGCTTGGAGTTCATGTTCCATGTCAATCACCTACAAAATATACCACAATTTCTCAAATTCAAACAGGTGATTATTTTGTTGCAGCAGGATATTCATCATAAACTTTGTATTTATAGCATACAAACAAAACATAATTCATTACTGCAGCCAAGACAACAATATGAAAGAAAAGAATTAAGCAAACCCAACAACTGTAAGAATACAGTCATTTAACACCACAGCAAACTAAAAATCACAGAACTGTAGAAGCAAAACACAGAACTGTCAATAGATGATGCAAAGAATTCAGCAAGCAAAAGAAGAAAAATAAAGCAGCATATACAGCATCAATACATTATAGATATTTTTATATTATTGGATGTACAAAAAATAGTTTGAATTGATCAGGCAAAATATGATTGGATGTTTGATAAAATTACATCAACCCAAACAAGAAAAAGGCAAAGAACTCCATTTAACATACCTTGCTGGGCTGATGCAACAATTTAATTCTTCTAGCCTCTTGAACCTCCTCCAGAAGTTCGTCGAGCTCCTAACAATATTGGACAAACAACAGTAAGCAACAAGCATCTTCTACAAACAATTTAACATCAGGAACTGCCTCATGAAATATTACTCATCTAACATGCACATTGCCACATAAGAAATCAATAATGTCAAAGAATATCTGTGGACATAACTCAGATTAAGAAAATTACTACTTATGATCAATCACTGCAACAAGCATAAGAATATAACCAAAAAAACATAGTTGAATGGACTATGTATTAGATAAAAATCAACTTCCACTATAACACTGCAGCATCAAGTCAAAAAACTCTTTGAGAGATGCACCAAAACCATGATTGCAACAATCAGGGTTCCAAAGTTTCTAAGGAAGAAAATCATAGAAACCTCAATAAATTAAAATTTTATAGTTTATTTGTCAAAGGATAGCCCAGGACTAACCCAAGGTCTTTGAGTTAATCTTGGGTTGGGTTGGGCTTAGGCAACCAATTCGGGCTTGGGGTTGTGATCAGACCAGGGTTTGGCAGATCCCTTAACTCTTCTTAAAGCTAGGCTTGGACAAGCCCTTAGCATTAAAAACATGCACCAGTTTTCTTTCCTAGCATTAAAAAAATACATATGCACTAATGTGACTTCCTATACATGCATACATACATGTATACATGTGCATATAAATCAAACAACTCAGTGAGCACCTGCTTTCCTGAGGTCTGGGAAATTCTTTCTTCTTCCTCAAGAGCCTCACCAAATCTTTGCACCACTGCTCTAGCACTCTCAATTTCCGCACAAGCAAAGGACCGTTCTTGGTTAACCAATTTCTTAGCATCTTCTGAAGCCTATAAAGAAAGAAGAAATTGAATATTTCCATAAACACAAAAACAAAGAAATATGAATGCACTTCAACTATCAAACTAGACAGGAGAAAGAGGAATCTAAAATATTTATTGTAATTGCATCATTCAGAATTGCTTCAATTGTAAGTTTATGTATGTGCTAGCATGGCTACCTGAATGGTTAAACATAGGATAAAGAACAGACTAGAGTTACTTTAGTGGCGAAGTCAACAAGTAATTGAACCATAAAAAAAAAATACAGAAAATAAGTTGCCACAGCTAAAAAGTAAATAAAGGAAACAAAATCTCATTCCATAAAATTTACAATATATCATTAATATTAAATTTTAAAAACTAGTAGCCAGTAAATTTTTTATTACAATGAACAACATGGCTCCATGGTTTCTCACATATTTACACAAATAAGTTTCTATGTTGATTTTAATGCATCATTACAATTTAGGTGCACGAAGTATTATTCTAGAAAACACACACCCACATTGGCAAATAGGCACACAATGCAAAAATAACTACGAGAGATATTTACACATTCTTCAGATTGTTAATTTGCATCCACTCATAAATAAACCAATCAATTTCTTGTATCCTACAAATTTAACTTCGTTCAACTATGCCCATCCAACCGAACCAGTTACTACACTATAATCCTTGAGCTCCTTTGGTTGTTAAAGTTGTTTTTTAATTTAGGACAAACTCATCACAAGGTATCCTTTAGTTGGAGCTTACGTTTTTTATTAAAAATAAAAATAAAAAAGAAAAAAATTATATTGAAAATAAAACAAACATCACAAGGAGCATAACCTTTGTACAATCGTTGTATACAATATAATTATTTAATATAAAGCATCTATTGTAGCACATACACGCTTGTCCATATCTATGTCATATTGCTTGTCCAGGCATATGACACGCTTCCTCCGCAGAAGTGTTCATGCTTCTTAAAATAATTATTGTATACAAATTAAATAAATATATAGTATAATTATTTAATGTAAAGGATATATTGTAGTACAGACATGCATGGCCGTGGTCATATCTATGTCGTTTCGCGTGTCTGAACATGACATGCTTCCTCCACCAAAGTGTTCGTGCTTCTTAGAATAATTATTGAATACAAATTAAATTAATCACATTCAATAATATAATATTTTTACAAATTCAATAATTATTTCCATACTTTATTAATATAGGAATGTGTTTGTCAATGAATAAACATGTAAAGATAATCAGATCAGATAAACGAAAATCATATCATCATTTTGATAATGATATAATATTCATTATATCCATATATATTTATTCAAAAACAAACACAATACTACATTTATTAAGAATAAATAAATTAATATCATATCATAACTTTAATAATCATTATAACCTGATGTACAGGGTATGTTTATTATATTAATATTCCGATGTACAGGGTATGTTCATTATATTAATATTCAGATGTACAGGGTGTGTTCTTTAAAAAGAAAAATTCTCTTACAAAAAGATATTGAAGGATTCCAAGGTGCTTTGGGTACAATAAGTACCATAACTATGTGCCCACGGTTATATTTCACGATGAACATCAAATGAACTGAATTCTCTTTTCATGTGTTCTATTTGAATTGAAGACAAATAAAGGAAAAGATAAGGGTATGCTTCCTCACAAATAAATAAGAAAAATTATCAGAAGGATATGAAATGAAACTTTTCATTTAGGAAAAAGTATATACAATGGTTAATTATCATAAGTATTTTGAAATACATTATATAGTCATCCACCATGTTTTAGAAATTAATTTTGGTGCACCACCATGCCCCACAGTTAATTATTTAAATCAACAGTGACATCCTTTAAAATGACTTGCTCATTATCATCATCATCATGTCCTCCCTATTACTAAAATGTTCACTATGGCAGCATAAATTTCTTCCAATCATGGAAAACAGGACAATAGCCTCACTTCATAATTGAATTAACATCATTATAGAGGAATCAAGGTAATTGAAGGAATAAGGAGGATAAATTTTTTCTTGATTACTTGGGTCTATCTTTCTGGGCTTATGGCTAGTACATCTGTACAAATAACAAAGAGAAAGTGTTATTACTTTTTGAATGGACAAAGAAGTTACCAATGAATAAAGAAGTCCAACAGAACCTTGCTAAAGAACAAAGAGCATTTGGAAATCATAGGCCAACAATCCCTAGAACTTTGCTACATTGAAAACTGCAGATTGAACAAACCTTGCAAATTTCTGTTTGGTTTAATTCTGTTTGGAAAGACTTTCAATTCAGTTCTTGTTCTAATTTATTGAAATTAACCAAAGTCAGTTTAGTTATGGATTTGGTAGAAACCCAAGCACAACCAACCCATGCGCACCCTTGATTAAGAGACAGTATGATTTTATTTTATTTTTTTCCTCCAAAAACTGTTAGGATGAAGCACAACATAAATACAACATGGAAAAAGAAAAGAAGAAGAAACGAAAATATAACCTGTTTGAGAAAGTTCGCTAGCTTCTTCACTTCAAACTTCTCTTGAATCAACTCCCCTTCTTTTTGAGTCAACTTTACTGCCAAAGCCTCCACCTGTAAAATGTTACGAGCACTTAAATTTTATTTTGGCATATACTGAAACATGACATTATGTTCTTATATTCAAACGTGAGAATGGACATTCTGATGGAATTCTAACTTCATTCTAGTGAGCCAAAGATGGGTTTTAGGACATGTACCAAGAATGCATACACAACAAAGCAAGGGAGCAAAGATTTGCAGTTCAATGTAAGTTCCCTAAGATCCTTCAAGAAAGATTAATTTGTTCTACAATTTTAAATATATTGGCACATGAAGTGCATTGCAAGTTTGAATAAAACAACTTGGAATCCAATGATAAAACCAAAAAAAAAAATGTAAATAAACCTATTATCCTCTTTTAGACTCTCAAAAAATTACCTTCGACTTAAATATTCATATATATGATATATAATAATTATTTATTCTTATATATGACATATAATAAATATATGAAATTATGTATTTTGCACGTGTCCCCCATGTGTCTTGTCCTATAATTTTTGAAAATTTGCGTGTTGGCATGTCTGTGTCCGTGCTTCTTAGCTCATAATGTAGGGTTTTTCTTTTTTTTTTGGATCAGCAAAAAAGAAGACTTTCTTGATATATTGGAGTAAACACTGCATGGGATTCAATAATCATAGTGCAAACAGTCCAAAGCTTCTGGTACAAGGGAATGAAATCAATATCATTCATGACTTATCTTCCATATATGTTCAGTTTTAAGTTTGTATGGCATTCCCAAAGCCAACTTCAAAAAAAATCTTGGTAATGCACAGATGTAGTTAAAATGCATATTAATACAGTTAAAATGCATGTGATCAAATAAATCAATAATGAAACATAACAACTAATTGGGTTCTAAAATGGCATATAACTTATAAAAACTAACCATTGAAATAGCTTTCTCCACATCTTCCTTATTTCGACCTGCCAATCGGCCTCTCAAAGATTCCAGTGCATCTCTGAGCTTCTTCAGAAGAACATGTCCCTCCAAAGAAGCCACCTCTCTAAGCTTAGCCTAAATTCCAAAACAATTAACAGAAAATTAACTTGTGTACAGTTCACCTTTGCATCAATCTCACCGGAAATCATCTAAGAGAAAAGAATGAACATGAAAATAAAAAAAAATATAAATTTCTTAGCATACCATTTCACATAACAAATAAATAATTATAATCGATGAGAGAAATATATATTAGAGGACAGATTATTCATAAAAACAAATTAATACCTCATCTGACAACTTAGCAGCAGCAGCCAAGTTCTTGTCAAATTTACTTGCAAGGTCACGAACAGAGAGACGCTTTTGCTGCTCTACTAGCTGGGCAGTTTCCTGTATAACAACCTCCTTCAGGGGTGGACCCTTAGGATCCTCCTTTGCCTCGTCCAAAATCTGATTATCAGCACCTATTCTATACTTCGGAAACCGATTAGAAGCAAAGCTCACATCAACCGACACCGACATAACTGCCTCCATCTGCATCTGATCCCCGAATTCTGGACTTACCTTTGTCATTTGTCCAGATTTTATGTCCTGATCATCAGAACCAAATTAAAAAGGTTATTTCATTCATTCCACATCTAATCAATAAATTATTGTTAAGTGTCTAGAGAGAAAACAAATCATCATTTTTAATATGTGTATTGATGTTTCTTGTTATAGTTATCCCATAACTTTACAGATATCATGAAATTAAATGATAAAATAAACAATGGAAACATGCATCCGCTAAACCAGGAAAGTTTGAAAAATCAACATATTCTTTAACAGGTCACTATTAGCTACACAAAATCTTTATTACTCGGAGATCAACTATAGCCTTTCGTAATTGATATTTGCTAAACCATTGCAAGTGAATTCTATAATTGATCATCTATATCAAGTTGTACTTTGAAGTAGGAATCATCACATTCTCCTTCCTCAACTCAACATTCGATTTTCAATAGCTTTCTTTGCTTGTGCAAAGCCATTGGTTGCAAGTGGATTTAGAAGATCCAACATAAAGAAGATGGCTCAGTAGAGAGATACAAAGCTAGATTAGCAGCTAAAGGATTCCTTCAAGGATATTGAGTGGAACCCGTGGAGGTGTACTAATCAATGGACCCCCTAAACCTACTACTACTTTTCTAACAAAATCAACCAAGCCTATCATAGAACGAAGGGAGTGAGCTAGAACTTTCCCGATTCATTACTATTTTGCTTGTTCGAAGCAAGGATAGACACTAGTAAGAGGCCATACAAAAGAATGAAGACGAGCTCATCCGGGTGGAAAATGTTGTCAAAGATGAAAATTCACCCAATAGAGAAAGACGAAGATCTTCGACAAACAAGGTTCCCTTGCATCGAGTAACTATGCTCTCATTTGGGTAAAAAAAGTACTCTCATTCCATTCCAATTTTGATTGTTGTTAACAACTGCTGTTACAGCTAAATGCCAAATTGTCAGATTTCAACTACATTGCATTATTGTTACCACATTACCTAATTTCTTATAGAACAGGATGTTCATCAATATGAAGTATTTCAAAATAAAACATGAAGAATTGAAGAATCAAATTGCACAGATGAAAAAAAAAAAATCAAAAAAAGAGAAGGGAGAGGGGAAAAGTTCTTTATAATTGCACAACTAGAAGGGGTATAAAAAATAATTAAATAAATAAATTCTAACATTTAAAATATAAACTAGTTTTAGGACAAATTAATCAAATAGGGAAATTCATTCCTATTATTCATAAAATAAATAAATAAGTTCCTAGTCATCAATCACCACTCTTTCAGCTGCATTTCCAACCCACATTCCAAAATTTCTCCACAGAAAAAGGAAGCATCATCAAACATGATATCTATGTGAATATATACAATACACACACACACACACATATATATGCATATTCATACATCATTATAAAGCTGGATAACATTAACATTCAAAGAAATAAGATTCCAAAACTTAAAATTAAACCGAGCTCAAAAGTAAGGAAACTCTTTGATCCAAAAAAAAAAAAGGAAACTCTCGATTTAACTGAGAGAACAAACAATACAGAACCCAAAACCCAAACCCTTCAAAATTTGCAGCCAAAGAAATTAAGAGAAAACCCAGATAAACATAAAACAAGAATGAAGCCAAGAAGGTGAAAAAATGGCACTTACAGATCATAAAACAATGTGGAGAAGACAACACAAAAAATATGGTTACATCTACATATATTCTTCAACCAGTTCTTCTCATGAGAGAGAGAGAGAGAGAGAGAGAGAGAGAGGAGATATAACACAAGTGAGAAGAAGAGGAAGAATCTGAGAGAGGGGTCTGCTTTTGTAAAGCAAAGTAAAAAAGAAAAGCTTCCCCCCTCCCCAGACCACTATACATACAGTCCCCCTCTCTCTCTCTTTTAGTTTTCACAATTGTTTTTTTAATTATAAATTAATTTTGTAAAAAATAAATAAATAAATAAATAAAAGGCACTCCCACGCCAAATCCGGATTAAGAGGTTTGGTGGGGAAAGAACAAACAATACAGAACCCAAAACCCAAACCCTTCAAAATTTGCAGCCAAAGAAATTAAGAGAAAACCCAGATAAACATAAAACAAGAATGAAGCCAAGAAGGTGAAAAAAATGGCACTTACAGATCATAAAACAATGTGGAGAAGACAACACAAAAAATATGGTTACATCTACAAATATTCTTCAACCAGTTCTTCTCATGAGAGAGAGAGAGAGAGAGAGAGAGAGGAGATATAACACAAGTGAGAAGAAGAGGAAGAATCTGAGAGAGGGGTCTGCTTTTGTAAAGCAAAGTGAAAAAGAAAAGCTTCCCCCCTCCCCAGACCACTGTACAGCCCCCCTCTCTCTCTCTCTTTTAGTTTTCACAATTGTTTTTTTTAATTATAAATTAATTTTGTGAAAAATAAATAAATAAATAAATAAAAGGCACTCCCACGCCAAATCCGGATTAAGAGGTTTGGTGGGAAAAAAACCTTACACTTATTTGGAAGGAAAAAACTAGTTTTTAATTTATTTTATTTTTTTAAAAGTGAAAAGGCAAAAATGTCACTAAATTATTTCTAATATAGATTAAAAAAAAAATTAGATGTGATATCAATTTTTTTGCTTAATTTTTTTTAATAACTTCTTAAATGCATTAATTAAAAAGGTCATAAAATTGGTCAAAAAGTTACAAAGAAGTAAATCTTAAATGTCCACAATGAATAATTAATGATGTGAAATATGTTAAGAAAAGAAAAAAATTTGTGAGAATGAGAAACTAAATTACTCTTCAAAAAATTTATAATATTTAAATTATTCCTATAAATGCAAACTAAATAAATTTTTAAAAAAAATTTCCTTTTATTTATTACAATAATTTTATTCCTTTTGTTCCCTTACAATCCAAAAGGAATTGTCATACGATTCTGTCATTTTTTATGCAAAAATAATTTAAAATTTTTTATTAAGAAAATGTATTTAATTTTATTTAATTGATATTATTTATAAAAAAATTCTAATGCCATGTAATAAACTAGTAGGTCACCAATATCACATTATATATGATATTTTAAACTTAATAATAATTGACTCTAGTAATTGCTCAAGTGATCATGCATGGCATACTTAAGTGGTGAGTGAAATTTCAAATTCAAGTATATAAAAAGATATTGGCCTAAGTTGTAATCAAACTATTAACATACTAAGTGCTATTTTATGAAAAATAAATTAATTAATAATAATAATTCTATATTTTCCCAACTAAAAAAAATACATATAAGTGGGATTTTTTTTTTAAATATTATAAATTAATAATAAATTTTATAAATATTAATAATTAAAATCTTAAACTTTTTCATTAGTTTGTAATAATTTTTTTAAGAGTAAATTACAAATACACCCCTGAGGTTTGATTATAAAATACAAATCGTTTGGAAGTTACATTCCACCCGTGAGATTTCTAATTTCATAACATATCATCAATTTTATTAATAAATTATCAAGTCAATTAATAATTTTTAAGAATGTTAGAATATATTTTAATTAATAATTTAAGTAATTTTATTATTATGTAAGATAGCAATTATAAATTTTATTTTTTTAATTAATTCTATTAAATAAAAAAATTTAACAATATAATATTTATAATTTTTTAAACAAAGAAAATAATCTACACTTTAAACAAATTTGAGAAAGTATATTTGTAATTTTTTTTTAAAAAAAAAAATCACATATGTATTTTTCCCAACAAAAAAAATTGGTCCAAGTCATGATGTGTGATTCTGTAAAGGTTAGGGGATGTAGTAAAAAAGCGAAAAGGCTGCTTAATTCCACGCGCTGTCCCTACTCGCCAATGTGGGTCCCACAGACAGCCTTAAACTGCGCAATTATCCATGGCGATGTGATCAACGCGTATATACCCGCGCGTGGTTCTGGTTTTGTTCACATTTGGCGCGAAGTATTCTCTGGTTACGCTTATTGTACAGATTCCACCTTCGTAGTTAGACTTATTTACGCAAGTACCATGATTTCGTCTCTTTAGTTTTATGTGCTGTTTGGGTGACCTAACTTTAAAGGACTCCAAATGGGCTTGACGTTACATACGAGGTCACAAAATTGGTTGGATTTAAAACTAGTAACAATTTTAAATCAAATACACTATCCACATTAATAAATTTATTTATTATTGTTACAATTATTAATCAATTGGATTCTATTTCAAATTTTGTTAGGTAAATTATAAATATACTTATTGAGATTTGTATAAAATATAAATTATTTGTAATTTTAAAAAAATACAAATACTCTACTGTCATAATTTTTTATTTAACAGATTTAACTGAAAAAATAAAAATTTTAATTGTTATAAGAATAAAATTACTTAAATTATTAATTGAAATATATTTCTAATATCGTTAAATACTATTAATTGATTTGATAATTTATTAATAAAAGATCCATTTGTTGTGAAATTAAAAATTTCAAGAGATTGGATGTAATTTTTAGAACAACAAGAAATAATTCATGCTTTAAGTAAAACTCAAGTGGTGTATTTGTGATTTATCTTATTTTATTTTATTTTTTAAAATACATGATACATCAACTAATAATAAAAAGAAGGGTTAATTACAAAAAAAAAATTAAAAAATCCACAGTTTGACCTTTTAATAAAATAAATTATGAGTTTTTAATCTTATCGATTTAAACTCTAATCTTTTAAAAATAAATCAAAAAATTATGATTTAAATTAATAAAATTAAAATTTTGGGTTTATTTTGTAACAAGGGTCAAATCTTAGGGTTTTCTTTTTTGTAATTTTTCTTAAAAAAATAAATTACATTTATTTAGCTTAACACTTTTGACATAATTATATTAATTTTTCTCTAGATTTTAATTCATATAACATTTAAGTCAGTTTTCACTAATAATGTTCATTATATAAAAAAATTGATATTATTATCTTTTTATTCTACTATAATATATATTTATTTTGATATTTATCTACTGCTAAGGGGTTGTTTGGGATGATCTAAATAAGTATATTTTTTGTCTTTTTATAAAAAAGATATGTAGAAAAGTAGAGAAGTGATGTGATGGAAAAAAGATAAAAAGATGGATTATATAAGGGATGTCAAACCACCCCTATTATTTTCAATCATTTGTTTGGGATGATTTAAATAAGTGTACTTTTTATTTTTTTACGAAAAACTATACAGAAAAGTAGAGAGATGATGTGATAAAAAATAAATAAATAAATGAATTATTTAAGAGATCCAAATCAGGTCTTAATTTCAATTATTTTAACTTTCTCTTTAATCTAATAAACTTTCTGATTGTCGATTAAAAAAAAAAAAAAAAAAAAAAGTAACAGGTAAGGACAATCAGCGTGACTTTGCCACGTGTCGATCCTATACTGATGGGTTGGTCAGCTTATGGTTGTCCTGAGCAAGCAATTGCCTTTTTCTTTGCACAACTCGATCAGATAACCAAGTAATTTTAATTTGAAAAATGTTTGGTGGCCCGAAAATATATGATTTGAATAATTTGAAAATGGTAAAATGACTTCGTTTTACACCTAAAACGATGTCGTTTTAAGTGTTTCGAGCCATTCGAGCCACATATTTTTGAGTCATCAACCATTGCTGTTTTAATTTTTGAAAAGTAGTTTATAAGTGAGTTTATTAATTTTTTTAATTTATTTAAATTATATTCATTTTGTTGGGTTTGTGTTTTTCAAAAATATTTTTTAGAAAATTTTACTTTCTTATTTTTTGTATTTTTTGTTTTTACTGAATTTTTTTAATATTTTAAGCAACTTTTAAATTTTTAGACACACTTAACATAAATACACTTAAAAAGTATAATTTTTGTAAAAAAATCTTTAAAAAATAACAAAATTAGTCTAACATCCCTCTTCCACTTTTAGTAATGGGAAAGATCCACAATATTATTTTGTGATATCTAAGGTCACTCAACCCCTATACTCATATATCACAGAGAAATTTGATTCTTTCATATCAAACATCGTGCCTGTTTGGCAGAACTTAAAAGCAGCTTATTTCAGCTTTCAGCTTAATTTAAGCTATTTTGATGTGTTTAGTTTACCTTATAGCTTATAGCTTATAGCTTTTTGGAAGTCAGAAATCAGCTTATTCTTTGAGTGGGGCAGGAGATGCTTAATTTATAAGTCAAAAATCAGCTTATGTTCATAGTTATAAGCTATAAGCTGTTTAGGCATAAGTTATAAGCACTTTCCCACAGCTCTACCAAACAGAGCCATCATCTCTCTTTCTCTTCATCTGTTGTCGATGCCTTTTCTGCCATCGTCGCCGGCCACTACCTATTGCCATCGTCCTTCTCTCACTTTCCTGTCAACGATCTCCTTCCTCTCTCTCCCTCTTTCTCTCTTCTTTATCTTCTCTCTCGAAACTCGTTTCAAAAATCGATACCCGCTTTAGACTAATTTTTCCCTTACTAATGAACTGTGTTCACTTTTGTTGATTTTATAGGGTTTTTAATGAATTTGATTTGGAAATTTGATCATTGAATTGAGTTATTCTGAATTGGGTCTAAGAGATGGCCTGGTTCGGTGGGAAAGTCTCATTGGGAAACTTCGTTGATCTCGCTGAGGCTGTGAATAGGATCAGTGAGAGCGTCAAGAACATTGAGAAGAATTTTGATAGTGCTCTTGGTTTTGAGGAGAAATCTGATTCCAGCACCAGTGAAGGTATATTATTTTGTATATCTGTAAATTTCTCTCTGTGTAGCTCTTTTTTGTGCGTAAACAACAATGGTGTTGGAGGATTAGTAGTATTTAGTTCTAATATACTTTAGTTGTTAGCTGATGCTTTTGAAGTGTTTCTCTGTTG